ATAGGACCAACAGTTGGTGGTAACGAATGCAGTGTCGGGGAAATGTGTACTTCTGGTGGTGTCGATAAACGGCGATGTACACTGTCCCACATCATTGTCGACATTGTCAAAAGTCGCAAATGTCGGTCTCCGTCACTCCCTTCATCTCTCGCCGACTGTCCTTCTCTCTCTATGTATATAATGAAAATATATGTAGATATATATATAAAAGCGGTAAACTCCGTCACTGTGTGGCCGATATTCATGAAAGTTGGCACATAACGTGTTTTTTCAACGAGGTTTATGTGCTGGTCATTTTGTTGTAACTCTACTACATTCCGCTGCAGAAAAAAAATCGCTTCATTTTAATTCAATTTTCATTCAAACTGCACTCGACCTCCTGGCTTCATTGCTGCTGACCGATGCCCGCGTGACGCAGGGATAAGCCCAGGAAAACCGCACGCGAAAAGAGAGAGAGAGAGAGAGAGAGCGCAGTCGGCGAGAGATAAGAGAGGCAGAGTGACAGAGACCGACACAGAGAGCGAGAGAGAGAGAGCGCATAAGGCAGAGTAAGAGAGGCAGTGAAACAGGGAGACAAGAGAGAGAGACGGAGACAGAGGCGGACCGAGACAGACATTGCCTCTGTCTACCTCTGAGTTTACAATGGATAACTGTCATGTGGAATTGTAATGCCGCAGGAATGTCATTCAAGGTTAAGAGACGAAAGTCGTATGAACGGTTTTTAATGCGTTTCTCTTTCAGATTTTTTACTTGTTTTTAATTGTGTAAAATCACTTAAATAAACAAGAAAATAACAATTAATTGTATTTTAGTTGAGTTAAAGTATAGTTACTTTAAGAGTTGAAAGTTTCTTAGAATTAAGATTCTAAGTCTAAAAATGAAAAACGATGTATTTATTTTCAGATTTTCAATTTGTTTCAACTGTATAAACTGACATCAAGATCCCAGAAGACATATGTAAAATTATTCGAGAATTGAACATTTACAGAATTTCGGTAGCATAAAATGATTATGTTAATCTGTTGATTTACATTCGCCCAGAAGGGAAGATCCTGCATGGTGGAGCGAAAACGAAACAGATTTAGGCACTACGCTGCGCATCGGGGAAGACAAGAGAAGAGCGCGTAATATGAAAAAAATGAGGCAGAAGGCCTTGAGATTCGATGAGGATCGGATCGCAGAATGGATCCAGATCCTACGACGATTGGTTGAGCGTGGTGTAAATTATTAATTCGGAAGAAAGTCTTACACGTAGGACAAAATATAAAACGGGTGTAATATCGCAATTGGGACTGGACTAAACTGAAATGGAACTTTGAGCGAACGCGGTAACGACGCTCAAGAACGCAAAGGACAGCAACAGGAAAGTTACCAAAGGAGATATATAACATTTGGTAAATGCATGGAGGTCAAGATTTGAAATTAGATTAATAAGTTCTAAATTAAGATTAAAAAGAACATTTGAAAATAGATTAATAAATTCTAAATTAATATTAAAAAGAGCATTTGAAAATAGATTAATAAATTCTAAATTAAGGTTAAAAAGAGCATTTGAAAATAGATTAATAAATTCTAAATTAAGATTAAAAAGGGCATTTGGACATGCATGTTAAGCATGCAAGTGGAGGAGTGTTAAAAATGGGAGTAAAAAAGGAAAAATATTAGATAACAGATTTCCTATTGTAATCGTTAATGTATATAAATGTCATGTACGTTTGTTTACAGCAGAACGGAAATTACAATGTTTATTTGGCTTTGAAGCAGATATTTTTATTTATCCGGTAGCGGTAACGAAAATTCGCGTATCCCAAATAAAAGGAAATATCTCGTACATGAGATTAAATAACCGAAAAACTGTACAGACTGTCTAGCCCACGAATATAAACTCATCGTGACGGATCAATCTCGGAACCTAAATAGGGCTATTGTTGGGTCAAATACATAAAGACATATCAAATACAAATTACTGTATTTATGGCAGAGTAATTTCCGAATAGGACGAAGGGAAATCACAGAGTATAGATAATTAAATTTCCTTTTTCCATTTATTATGCTTAACGTTCTTCAGACGTAATGAGAAACTTATATTTCTTGAGAGTTTCCCTTCACTAAAGCAGTCTCTCTTTAGAATAAAACAGTAATCAACCGCCATGATTGTATTACACCTCCCGTGTTATGTGCTTTCCATGTCTTTAATATATTGGTGGAAACGTTCTCTTCTTCACTGACATCATCAACGGTTGCAGGTAAAAATTAATACTAGAATCTAGAAAATTAAGTTTTATACTCTGTTGCAGCCTAATTACATGAAAATCTGTAACAGTGTTTTAACACTGGTTTTGTAGTCGGATCTTTGTAGTTGCCCAAATCCTTAGCCACAACTTGTTTATACAAAACCCATGCCCCTCTTCCACTTTATGCACTGGACATTCAAACAATTTTCTTTCTAATCCGAGGGCTCACAATGATTCCTCCTTAAAGTTTGCCATAAGATACTTTCAGAAATGTAGTTATCAAATACTGGAAACTGTAACCATATTTTGAAAGTGCTTTAGTTAGCTGTTTCATGAAACCATGAGTGATGTGAAGCGAAAGTAGTATTATCTTGCTTTGTTGAACAACTGCTTCATTGATTACGTCAGGTTCTTTGAACGTGGTTGGAATATTATTTTACGCCAGTCTTTTATCTTCCAGTGATTGCCTTGGGCTGGGCTGTCCCATTCACAAATGAAACCCGAAATTTTTGTTTAGCCGGTTTGTTGAGCATGTAACATTTCATCTACTTTCAAATCTTCACAAATTGTCCAAGAATTTGTTTCAGTTCACGAATTTCAGCAAAGCTTCTTGTTCTTTCATCCTTGGGCGTAGTACGCAAAAATACTCTATGACGAATTAAAATTAAATATAAAAAAACGTGGTCGCAACTCTTCCTCTCGGGTGCCCCTTCGAGTTACCAACCCCACAATTCGGTCGTGGAGAACCTATCAGCCCGCAACCTAAATGGTTCTGAAGAGTTAGTTCTTCCAATGTATTATCAGGCGGTTCATTTACACGTTACTACTCTAGAACACACAGTTCCATTCTTCCATTCTATACTACAATATAATTTTGTAGTCGAAATTCTCCTATTTAACGCATCTGTATACGCTACACATAACAAATTACCCTATGAAACAATAGTTACCCTATAGAGGTGGCAACACTGACAATGAGCCTTTCCCTTACGCGTATTGCAAAAACTAATCTTTTCACCAAATGCTGAGACGGCTTCTTGCTTTGCTTCTACACATAAATCACTTCACATCATTATCATCACTATCACTTATCACCACTGTGTACGTTTTCTTAAGCTCTTTCGGGAATGTAGATATTCGAATAATAGTTTTCTATTTTATCGCGGCCGTAAATCGATTCCTTCACGTAAAACGCTAGGAAAAGTAACTTAAATGAGCAGCTGATTTGTACAGCTAATAGTTTTTTATTATACGAGAGCAAATATTTTCTAATCAATTCTTGCCAAAAACGCTCGTTGCTTCATGTATTCATAATTCAACCTATTATGTACACGAGTTAGAACATACATCCCACAGCTCAAAAAATCATGCGCATTTTGCCATTCTCCCCATAGTACGCCACAGTGTGTTTACATGTTTTTGTCGTTAAATAAAACTGCTCTGTACTGCTTGTACTACACGTTCACACACTGTTCATGATTACGTTAAGAATATCCATCATGTTGGGTGTAAACCCTCTAGCTTCGATACAAGAGGAGGAGGAGGATTTCAAAAATAGGTAACACTTCTGTAATTTAAATAAAGTGAGTTTGCGAAAATGAAAACAATAAGAACAAAAAAAGGATAAAGGAATTCGTAATTAAAACTAATTTCATAATTTCATGTTCAGTTCTTTTATTCTTTTTAATTGAATACCTAACCTTACAAAGGGGCTAAGAGCCAAAATAAAAAAAAGAGATATTACTTAGGAACGGTGTTTCGCTACACCAGTCATACCCTGCAAAAGCGCCAAGTGATATTCCGAATTCTGTGGTTACTAGGTTTACTGAGGGAGAGCACCAATGGTAAGAAAAGAATGGTTTTTCTTTATAATACGACTGTTACATTGCTAATTATTATTATTATTGTTGTTATTATTATTATTAATACCCGAATATCCGAGGTCGCTAAGTAGTACCATAGGGTTATCGGACGGAAGAATCGCGGTTTCGAGTCTCGCCTCGGCCATGGTTTGTCGCCCATTTTCCCTTCATTATCGTTATTCCATATTCCGTACCCACAGGACTAGCAACCCTGCCCTCAAACAGGACACAACACTTGCTACGGGATAAACGTTACTGAGCCTCGGTACGTGCAGGTGTACATCCTCGTGGTCCTAGCTGGCCTATTAACTACAAAAAGCCCTCGACATCTAAATATAGTATCATTTACATATTTTTAGTAATTATTGCATCATGCGGAAGTATAGAATACATTTAATTTTGCAGTTATCGCTTTTGTAAGGAAAACACATTATTCACCTCTCTCCTATTGTATTTTCACACAATGAAGGGTTATATTTACGGTCTCTTAATTTCACATGGACACTTCTAACGCATTTATAATGTAAGTTAAAAAAAAACAACTAATTTTGGCGTTTAGCTCTTTTGTAAGGTTACGTAATCAACTCAAATTGCAGTTGCTATTGGCATGCATTTTCTGAAGTGACATCACAAATATACAATAAATTACATTAATCCTTCTTACATCACTCTTCCTGATTCACTTCACTTCTACATGCTAACATCCCAAGTAGTCGCCGAATACCGAGAAGCATAGATGAGGCGGCTCTACACATTCGGCATTCGCCAAGTTGCAAGCGACAGTTCGGCCAATCCCGAACAGCTGATGTGTTCGGCGAATGATCGGTTCCTTTCATGTGTGCCAAAGACCGACACGCGGTGGGTAGGGCGAATACCGAATGTTCGGTGCTCGGCGAATAGCGAGCAACCCGTCCACACTACTCGGGATCCGCCGAATACAGCATGTGTGGAGCCGTCTTGAGGCGCTTGCTATTTGCCGAGCGACGAACATTCGGTATTTGCCCTACCCACCGAATGTCGGCGTTTAGGGCATACCCAAGGGAGCGAACTTTCACCGACCACATCAGCTATTGCGTCCGCCCCCTTGCGCGTCTGCGCCCGTGGAAGAGTTCACTTGACCGGCTGGCTGCCTCCCGCGCGGAGTTACATTGTGGGCCGTGATCAGGTGGCGGGCCAGGCTGCCCGACTGCGAGAAGGCCATTCCGCACACGTGGCAGCTGTACGGCCGCTCGCCCGTGTGCGCTCGCTTGTGGCGGCTCAGGATGTTGGAGCGGTTGAAGGCTTTGCCGCACACGTCGCACCTGTAGGCGCGCTCCCCGGTGTGGATGGCTCTGTGCGTCACCAGGGTGCTCAGCTTCGTGAAGGCGATGTGGCACACGTCGCAGCGGAACAGCCGCCCTCCGGTGTGCGCGCGTTTGTGTAAGACGAGGCACTGGTGCGAAGAGAAGCTGGCGGGGCATTCGCCGCACGTGAAGTAGAGCTTGCGGCTGGATCGCCCCGAGGGCGTGCCGTCTGGCCCAGAGGCAGCAGCGGAGGCGCTGCGCTCTGGCGGTCTTCGCCCGCGCTGTCCTCCTCGACGTGTCGTCGCCTGCGTCTGCGGACGTCCCACAGCACCTGCACAGCCACGAGAAAGCACACTGCACATCCTTTCTCACCGGGATCAGTCGTCAGATCACTTCGGGTTCCAAGACTTAAGTCAGCCTTCACACGGAGCCACTCGGCGGCGCCACCGAGAAGTGGCTCAGAAGCCCTTCACACGCAGCGCCGACCAACACTGACCGCAAGAGAGGAAGACTGCCTTCGGCGGCGGCCAAATAACCACGGCTTCCACCAAATAATGAGGAAGATGATATTTGTAACTCAGAAAATGGAATCTGGATTCGATGTAAGGCTTTGAAGAAACATAAATGTTTCGAAGTTTGAACACTAAAATTATTTCTAGGCAAACTCATGTTAGCCTGAATTGAATCGAAGCCATTTTAGACCTATTATAACCTCGTATGTATACTAAATATAACGTTAATACATATTAATGAAATAAATTACTCTTCAGAAATGGCGAAACAAATACAATTTCGAGATGCACAAAAGTACAAAAAAGCTATTTTCAACAATTAATTTAGTGAATACTAATGTATGCAGCACAACGCAATTTTGGTCACTTATAAAAAGTTATATTTCCTCAATAAAGAAATACAATCAGCTGTGTAAAATAGTCAGAATTACAATTATAAAAAAAAACTTGATTTGAAAACCATAGTTACTAGCGTTGTGCTGTACTGGATCTAATAGTGTTTTCTTACGTAGGAAGATATAAAGGATGTGAATTCAGGAAATTCTATCTCTCGGCACTTCCGGCACCAACAAATCATGATGTAACTCATTTACTTAAATTTTCTTGCATATGGTAGAAGGTTATTTCAATGAATTTTTCTTTAAAAATAATTATTGTTCGGCGATTTTATGTTCCAAGGTTTTGGACCGTACATTTTCACATAAACCACATAATGCAACAAGTGTCTGAGTTTACCAAAGAACCTCAATAATGATCTAGCCTTCTTCAAGGTACATTTTATGTCCTCAGAACTTTGTTATCGTCTGTGGATTGCTTTCCTCCCCAGTCCTCGAAACTGTCTCCTTCAACAAGTTCTAGCAAAATATTCTGTGAAACACCGAGTTATCTCCTTGGCCAGAATCTACACTATGCAATACATCAACATTTTTGTTATACTCCGAGTCATGGCAAAACACACATAACAGAATGTTTCAAAAAGAATCGCTACCAGTTACCGCCAAGGCTACAGGTGCTAGGAAACGTATCATCATAAGATTGATTTTATTTTGAACAGGGGTTTCGCAAGGTTCGATATTGGGCACTAGACTCTTTTCTTTATTTGGAAACGATATGCCATTGCTCAGGAAAAATGGAAGAACGGTTCTGATTGCTGATGGCACAAATATTCTTCGCCAAAAAGAAACAATGGTAGTACGATTTCAGAAGTTTCAAATTGGTTTTTTAATAACAAATTAATATGCTATCGTGGCTCAGTGGCGAAGTCGCTTGACTTTCACCACCGAGGTTCCGAGTTCGATTCCCTTAGAACCCCTGTAGAACATCATGTGGAATTTGTTACGACAAAACGAGTGCTTCACAGGGGCAATCCAACCCTTGCGAAGCATCCTAAACCTTATCCATATCCTTATTCCTTCCCAATTCTAGCCGCCGGGTAGTGACACAGAAGCGCGTACGCAGAGATGCTATCTGGCGGTCCTCTTGACAACTGGCTGAGGCGAGACATGACGGACTGTGTTAATTAAAGAAGTTTTACTCCCGCGCAATGGCTAACGGAGGATTCCTCCAAAAGCGCGAAGCGCTCAAAGCCCCCTAAGGGGCTTGGAGCCGCGTTGCATGTAAATTGACGCAACAAATAAAAAAATGTTAACGAAGAAAAACCCGTTTCAATTCATATTTGTATTTCAGACCGGCAATCGCATTCTCTATAGAAAATTAATATGCAATAATCTGAAGTTAACCTGTGTTCTACAACGTACAGGTCAAAATGACCCGAAGCCACGAAACGCACGCGCGTTACAGGGCAACGATGAGCATTTAGTTGGAGAAAATGTGAATTTATCGTTCATTGAAATGATGAAAAGGGTGTATTTTAAGAAACAAAAATATTATATGATTTCCTAGAATGTTAAAAGTGACTAATTCCACAAAAATGTTAGTTGAGTCAAAAAAGCCGGACGTAGTTTCCGTCTCTGCGGTTCACGTTGTAGACCAGAGGTCAACGTAACACATTTTCTGGGTCTCTCAATTCAGTTCAACCTCAAATGGAATATCCACATAACCTAATTACACACTAAATTAAGTTCGTTATGTTACGCATCCAGAATTCTTTCAAATTGTCAGCTTTCATGCAGTTCGGTGCGTGTATTTTGCAAATGTATAGTCTCGCCTAAGATTTGATATAATTTTCTGGGGATCCTATAGTATCCAGACTTTTAGTTCGCAGGAAACAATTAAACGAATAATAAGGAAAAGCAATGCACGTAATTCCTGCGAGTCTCTCTTCATTGAGCATGGAATCTTTCCATTACCTTACCCGTTTATTTAAGAGACTGTTTGTTTTTTGGTCAAAACCGACTTACAGAGCTGTGGGAACATATTCCATGCGATTCTGATATTTATAATTATAATACACCGTAGAAATCACATTCATCAGGTGTCGTATCTCCAGCTCATTATAAGAAATCAACATATAATACATGCACGATACTTTTTCAACACATTAAACAAATTCAGATGACAATAAACAAATTAAATCAGTTCATAAATTGGAGTTAAATGTAAATTCACTGCTGCTGCATAAATGTTTCTATACAAATAGAGACTATACTAATCACCGAAAAGAAAAAAAAAATGTATTCCAACAATTAATTAATATTACTTTACATTTGTATTTTATCATTTTAAAATGACTTGACATGCCTGTAACAAGCAATGTACTTCAGTTACGGGGTCAATAACTCACATCTCGATTAGTTTTTGGTCCAGTGTCCCCGATTCATTGAGCAAATGCTAAGATGGCCCCTTCTTTAGCTTCTGAACATAAATGTAGCTTCATTATGAACGCATTTTGTCACGCTCACCTTTTGCTAGTAGTGATGAAAGTAGTGCCGGGAGTATGGTACAATTTTGTTAGTAATACCAAAAAATCTGCAGTTCGTATATCAATGCAAATAACTTTTCTATAATTCGGGAGTGAAAATGTCTAGCTTTCAAATGTTGCTAAACTCTATTACTTTAAAATTTTATTCTCATTCAACTATTTATAGTTAAAATGTTCGGAAGAGATTCTGGAACTCAAAGAAACGTGCGCATGTTACTTCTCGCCCACACGACACACAGTTTTTTCTAATAAATCAAATCAGACAGCTACTTCAGAAGATTAAAAAAAAAGCACTAAATAATGTGGAAGATGACACTGACTCAGGATGTGAGTTCTGGATAAGGCCCCGTACGATTATGATTTGGACGTGGGAACAATAAAATAATAATTTGTAGTAAAACTTATATTAATCTTCACAGAATAAAATCCATATTACAAAATAAGAATGATTCCTTCTTTTACAAAAAAGCCACATATCCCTTGTTTCCGAATGTATGCATTTCGATTACATAAACTATTATAACCGTTTTAAGTACTAAATATAACGTTAGTACATATTAATAAAATAATTTACTCACAGTAATATCAAGATCTGAGTAAATAGTGGAAAACATAATACCGAGATGCAAATCGGTACAAAAAAGTAATTTTTAAAAATTAATTTAGTAAAAACCAAAGTATAAATCACAAGGAAATTTTGGCCACTTATAAAAAAAAACGCTTCGTAAATTAATCAGAATTACAATTACACCAACAACTGGATTGGCTGAAACAATAGTTACCAGCCTTGTGCGGTAGAAAATCTAAGGGCCTCGTTTTCTTACAAAGGAAGATACACGAGATGCATATCCAAGGAATGTGTGATGCTTCGGCTTTTCTGCCGACTGCGCGTTAACCGACGGCCGACGATCCCTGTTCGAGGACATTGCTTGAAAGTTGAGAAAGATCTTCTATCTCCTCGCTCCCAAAATCATGATGTAACTCATTTATTTAAATCCTCTTGCCTGCGTTAGACAATTCTCGCAACGTACACGGTCCGTTTTCACAGAAATGATTAACGCAATATGTTTTTGAGGTTACTCTGAACCTCTGAACAACGCTCCAGAGTTTTTTCAAGGTACATGTTATGTTCTAAGAACTACGTTATCGTGTGTGGATTGTTCTTGTCTACTGACTTCTCAAGCGTCTCCTAACATACATTGTGAAACACCGGGTTATTTCGTTGACCGGAATCCACACTATGCAGTACATCATGTGTAGGCATTTTTGTAATACTTGGATTCATGACAAAACACTCATAATAAGAATCTCTTTCAAAGGGAATCGTTGCCCGTTGCATACTATATTTCCACTTCGAACATAACTCTTTTAGTTCCTCGCTAGCCACGTCGTGACAGCAAGAAACGTTGACAATCAGCAGTTAATGAACTTTCATGCGATGATTCGTTCTCTCTAATGGACGGCATCGGGCCGCGCTGACAGGTCAGGAAAACGAAAGGGTCCGTGCCCGCTCCTTTGATGATTTCGGGCGCATGAACTGCTAAGGTCATTAGTGCTGTAGCTGTAGCACACGTTTTCATCGCGGGAAGTGGCGGTGAAATTCCCCCGCTGGATGGTGCCATTGAGCGTCCACCTACCCATCGAATAGCGGGTTTTTCCTCCACCAGGTATCTCGCACCAGCGTCTCAGTCCCCAGCCCTGACCCACGTGCGTCGATTCGAGTCACTGTGCGCTCGCGGGGGGCGGGTTGCCCTGAACGGATGGCGGCCTGGCGCGCCGCACGCAATCGTGTGCTTTGCCCAGGTGGCGGTAGAGGCTGCTGGCGCGCGAGAACGCCATCAAGCACACGTGGCAGGTGAACGGCCGCTCGCCCGAGTGCTGGCGCCTGTGGCGGGCCAGGATGTTGGAGCGGTTGAACGCCTTGCCGCACAGGTCGCA